GCTCCTGGCATTGGCCTTGCCCAGTTCTGGCTGTTGTAACTCCTATTGTGAGTGAAACAGGTGATAGAATCTCCCTTGTTCTCTCCCTCTCTCTTTTATTAACAGAAAGAGAAAGTACATACATTTTGAAAAAGTATTTTAAAGTAAATACATTTTGGCAAAAAATGTTTTCTTTCTAAATAACCTGTTCGACAGTCTTATCACAAAGAGACTAAGATGGACATAGATCAAAATACTTTTTTTATTTAAAGACTGTATGTATTAATTTGAGAGGCAGAGTTACAGACAGAATGAAAGACAGAAAGTTCCTCCATCCCCTGGTTCACTTTCCAGATGGCTTAGCCAGAGCTAAGCCAATCAGAAGCCAGGAGATTCCTCTGGGTCTCCCACGTGGGTACAGAGAACCAAGCACTTGGGCCACCTTCTGCTGCCTTCCCAGGCCATAAGCTGGATTGGAAAAGGAGCATCTGGGATACAAACTGGTACCAATATGGGATGCCAGCACCACAGCCAGAGGCTTAGCCCACCATGCCAGTGTCACCCCCTAAAAGCCTTTTTTAATTAATGAAAGATACTACATAAATATGCAAAGCTTCAGAAGTCCAGGAACAATATAGAAAGTAATCTAACATTTAAAATGCAGAATTAAAAAGAAAAGTTCACTTTGGTTAAAAAAACTTAATCTACAAATACACACTTTCCATAACCTCTATGAATCATGTTTTATAGTATGCATTTATGCATTTTCAATGAACTTATAGACAAGTTTTATGCATGGGTTACTAACATTTTTGCACTAAAATAAACTTCTTTTTTCTTTCAACTTTCCAGAATCTTTGTGAAGTCCCTCATAACTGCAATAAATTTCAGTAGGAAGAGAATAAATGAAAAACAAAATATGTATTTTGAAATGGTGAAAAGCTTCTCAAATTTTATTAAAAAAACATCAATTTATAGATTTGAAATGTTCAGTGACCCCTTAATCAACAGATAGAAAGCTACTAAAGGCAAATAAAATGAAGGATTCCAAATACAAAGAACAGACCTTGAATGTTGTGAAAGAAACAACAGCCTACTGGGTCAGCTATGTATGAATGATAGCTGACTTCTCCTCAGAAATTAGTGAAAGAAATCTTCACTACACTGAAAAAAATATCCTTCCATCTTTGATCCTATATGTAGTGTTAATTGCTGTAAAATATGAGATGAACAAGGGCAGGTATTTTCGCTCATTGGGTTAAGCTGCTTCTTTGGATGCTCACATCTCATATCAAAGTTCCTAACCTTGCTTGTGATTTAACTTCATAATAATGCACACCAGGTAAGTGCCAGATGATGGCTCTAGTAGCTGGGTCACAGATATCCACATGAGTGATCTGGATTGAGTTCCAGCCTCCTGGCTTTAGCCTCGACCCTGTTCCAGCCATTGCAGGTATTTGAGGGAGTGAAACAGCAGATAGAGCTCTTAATTTTTTATCAAGTAAATAAAAATAAATAAAGCATTAATCCATGAAGTATACAAAAGACATTTTCTGAACAGGAAAATGAGAATATAATATAAAAGAAGCAGTCCATTTTCAAATAAAATGATACAAAATGAATACTTGGATTAGTAGGAGTTAGGAACATAGGAGCATTTTTTACTGCCAAAGGCCATTTGGATATTACAACATTATGTGCTGTCCATACAAAATTATCAACTTAAAATTAGCTTGTTATTAGCTCCTTGAATTAATAATACCACCTGTGGTTGTCTTGGCAGGGTCAAACCAAATGATTTTTTGGGTCTTATATGGCTAAAGAAATACTCAGGGACTTTTCATCATAATAAACAGATAATACATCAGGCTGATCATATCATTATAAATGCTAATGTGCCTAAAAACAAAACCTCAAATGATATGAAACAAAGTCCACAAAACTAAAAAAGAAACTTAAGAAAAATCCTCAAAAGTAATGTTAGAAAATTGATTTACATTTTATAGTAATTGATGAAACTAATAAAACATCAACCATAAACATGAATGACAGTATTGACCAAAATAATATTTATAAATCACTGTCCAACATTCACAACAACAGAATAAATGATGAGCTACAAATCAAAAATATATCATGGTGAGATCCAAGATGGCTGAATCGGGTATAGCCATAATGACTTAAGCTGCTCTGAGATATGAACAGAACAAAGGAAATACTATTTTCCAGAGAAGTGACTGACCGAAATGTTAGACAAAGAAGTAAAAAAAAAAAAAGTCAGTCACCCACTGACTTCCTACCTCAACCTGAGAGCTGATGGGGTCTGAGCAACTGATGAGCTTGGAGCAAGGAAGCCTCCTTGCTTCCTTCCCCTCCCTGATTCCTGCAGAGCATGACACTGAGCAGAGAAGATACACAGTGAGCCTCTGCTCTGCTCCTACCAGCACTGTAGAGTCAGGGCAATGTGTAAGGCAAAAGACAGATCCCTGCATCCTGCATCTGTGGGAGTTTGGGGGCAGAGCTACACTCACATACTCTACCTGAGCCAGAGAAAATCACCTTAGCTTCTGGGGGCTACCACCAGAAGCAGGCCATAAAAATGTTTGTTCCCACCCCAGGAGATCTGGGTAATGATCCACTATACCTGAAAGACCAGGACTGTAACAATTTATTGTAAATTTCTGAGTGCCACTGAAATCTACCCAGTGGACATAGGGAAGAACCTGCTTGCATTCCTCCTCTCTGGACCCATACTCTGCAGAGTAAAACCTGTACACCTAGTCCTAGGACTAGGGTTGTTGTTATTACACAACAAAGTACCAGTTGGACTCTCTTACCAAGAACTGAGGAAGGGACAATCCATATCGCACAGTCCTAAAGCCACAGAAATCAGTGCCACAAATCCCAGTATCACTCAGGCTTGCCAGTAAGTCAAGGACCAGCCATCCTCATCTTCCTCAGCACCAAGAACAAGCCCTTGGCTATCACAATCATCAGGGAGACTAACACAGAATCTGTGGACCAAAGATGCACACCCAAAGAAACACTTATTCATCTCAAAGGCACATTTCCATCCCTAGGAACTGCAGCTGACTAGACCATTGTGTTACTAACAGACACAGCTGACAGCCACTAAAATAAAAGGACTCACTCAGACACTACAATCCTGGGTTCACCTAGAACCAAAGCCAAGGCAACAAGATTTGCACAAGAGAAATGAAAATAAAAACCATAATGAGGTTTCACTTCACCCCAGTAAGAATGGCTTTCACCCAAAAGTGCCCCTCCAAATAAATATTAGCAAGAATGTAGGCAAAATGTACCCTAATACACTTAGGTGGGAATGTGAACTAACACAATCATTATGGAAGACATTTTGGAGATTCTTCAGAAATCCAAAAATGGATATAACATATGACATAGTCATCCCACTCCTGGGAATTTACCCAAAGGAAATAAAATCAGCATATGAAAGAATTACCTGTGCCCCCAACTTTATATAGCAGCTCAATTCATAATAGCTAAGATAGGGAATCAACCCAGATGTCCATAAACTGATGACTAGATAAAGCAAATGTGGTATGTGTGTGTGTGTGTATGTGTGTACACACACACATATATAAAATGGAATACTACTCAGCCATAAAAAAGAATGAAATCCTTCTTCTGCAACAAAATGGATGCAATTGAAGACAATTATGCCTACTGAAACAGGTCAACCCTAAAAAGACAAAAATATTTTCTCTGATTTTTGGTAGCCTATACAGCAGAAAAAAATGTATGAGTGAAACTGACATCTTGAGATCTGATTATCATCTGTATCCCTTTTCTATATTCCTCAGGAACAGTGACGTTTCTACTATCTACTTGTTGAATTCTTTATTTAGTGGAGGGCTGAGCTTGTGATTATAAAGTAACTTGAAAATGTGCTATCACACAAATTAAAAGAAAAATAAGAAAGGGAAAAGGAGAAAGGGAAGGGAGAGAGAGTGAAAAGTATCGTCATGCTCTTAAAACCATATATAGGAAATACATGAAATCTGTTCTACTTATATAAATAAATAAAATTTTAAAAAGATATTCTAATTCTAGTTAACAGTGCTTGTTTTTATTCCCAGCTCTTGCTTTTGAGTCCAATTTTATGCTACCGCATGTGCTGGGAGGCAGTGGTGATAATCCAAGTAATTAGGCTTCTACCACTCATGTCAGGGAAAAGGAGTACATTCCTGGCTCTTGGATTCATTCTTGGTTACTATGGATATTTAAGAGAGTAAGTTAGTGGATAAGAGGTTCTTTGATTTCTCCTAATCTACCTGTCTCTCTTTCTAATTCTCAAATATGTAAATATATTTTAAATGTAAAAGATTCAAGCAAGGAAAAAGCCAGACAATATACTTAATGACATTGATAAATGTTTGACTAATTGAATTGAGGGTACTTTGAGTAGCTTAAAGTATGAATGAAGAATGGAATGATTTGCTGGAAGACAGAGCTTTGGGAAGTTTGCAGCACAACCAGCATGTATAGTCTGGCAGGAAGAAATGTATGTAGAGCTGTTTAAGAACCTGAAGAGATTCTGCTCTCCACACAACCCCAGTCCAATCCATAAATCTGGTACAGTCTCCCAAGGGTATTTTCACAATTCCTAAAACACTTTATTAACTGATTTATTACCAGTTAGCAACTCTTACCAGTGCAGAATGTTGTATGTTTATTTCTAAATTGGAACTAAACCACTTCCACTTTAGCATCATATGACCAATAAATACTATTCCAGACATCATTTTCCACTAGAATTTAGCAAATTCTAATTTCTGATTTGAACTATGTAACAGATATGTCTTTGAGGCATCAGAAAGACTGTAGACAAATTTACAATCAGCTCTGATGGCTCTAATACCTTATAACTATGACAATACTACCTTGTTTATCACTTTTATGTTTCCATTTTAATTTAAAAATGCTCATAAAGCTCCTATCATACAATGTAAAACAAGTTGAGAAATAAGTAAACAACTTACTGGTGTTGTATTCATTTTCTTTGGCCCCTGAAACATGTAGTGGTATCTACAATTACACCTGGAAAAGAAAGTGAATACAGGGAGTTGTGAGAGAACTGGTCTCGCTTGCACTTAGACTCTACAATGTAGGGAAGATCATGATAGAAATGAATGCAGAATTATAGATATATTAGCTGGAGAAACAGAAACAATCTCTGTGGTGATTTAGCAATTTACACTTGATAAGGGGAAGGGAAGATCCTGAAAGAGCACCCAAATTTTACTAACTGGCAGTGATTAAATCTAGTTATCCTTAGGTTAATGGAATCATTTTGTTGCTACTTATTTTTAAAAAGCAAGTGATAGGGCCGGTACTGTAGCACAGTGGGTTAATGCCCTGGCCTGAAGCACCAGCTTCCCATATGGGCAATGATTCTAGTACCAGCTGCTCCTCTTCTGATCCTGCTGTCTGCTATGGCTTGGGATAGCAGTAGAAGATGGCCCAAGTCCTTGGGCCTCTGCACCCACATGGAAGACCCAGAAGAAGCTCCTAGCTCCTGGCTTTGGATCAGTGCAGCTCCAGCCATTGCAGCCATCTGGAGAGTGAACCAGCAGATAGAAGACCTCTCTCTCTGTCTCTACCTCTCTCTGTAACTCTGTCTTTTTAATAAATAAAAATATATCTTTAATAAAAAAGCTAATGTTATGACTGAGAAGAAATTTATTATTTTCAGGATGACTGTTTAAACAAATTTCAGTATATCATAGAAATAAACATCATTTTGTCACTAAAACCATACTACAGAAAAAAAATACTTGAGTGGTACTAACTACTTTGGTATTACTACAGATGTACTGAACAGGAGTCCATCCATATACTGAAAATCTATAGAATTTAGTCATTTAGCAACCTGTGTATTTTACCCACAACTGTACAGTAAAATGGATATAATACATACTTATTGTACTATACTTTCCTAGTAATTATCCCAAATAACACACCTCCCAACACACAAGCCTTCAAATAATCTTCATCACAATGATCCTTGGCATTACCAATTTTCTTGCTTTACACAATCTGGACATCAGTAAATATGACACCTACACACTTTGAAAAGTACTTGATTATTGGAGTTTACCTTATTAAACATTTATATTATGAAGAAGTCTGGGACTTGCCTATTGGAGACACAGGGTTTGGGCAAGAGCCAGAGCAAACCACCAAACTTGAGAGGGTTGTAATGGTGTGATGCAGGTTAGAATATTGCTTGGGACACACATCCCATAAGCAAATTTGTGGTTTTCATCCTGGTTATTCCATACTTAAAATAAACACCCTGTTGTTGTACCTGGGAGGTAGTGGAGATGGATAAGTACTTGGTTCCTGTACCCTCAAAGAGATGCAGGTAAGATTATTTCCTTCTGGCTTCAGCCTGGCATAGCCCTGGCTGTTAGGATAATTAGAGAGTGAATCAAGCAGTAGATGGAACAGTCTCTCTTTCTCCCTCATCCTTTGTCCCTCCCTCTTCCACCCCTTCTCTGAGCTTCAGCCTTTAAAAATAATTACAAAGAAAAATTATAACATAATTTTGTTGATTTGTTATATATCAAATGCTGATATACTCTTGGTAAGGAAGAATTTAATTGCAATTGCCATATACAATCAAGAGACCTTCACATAGACCTGTTCGTGAGCATGAGTCATGCCAACTCGTCAGCTAGGCTGCTGCCACACAAAATGCCTGGATATCATAAGAATGTTTGAGGGGCTGGTGCTGTGACACAGTGGTTTAACATCCTGGCCCTGAAGTGCGGCATCCCATATGAGTGCCAGTTTGAAACCTGGCTATGCTCCATTCCAGTCCAGCTCTTTGCTGTGCCTTGGGAAAGCATGTGGAGGGGATCCAAGTGCTTGAGCCCTGGGCCTGGGAGGACGCCAGAAGAAGGGCGGATCAGCACAGCTCCAGCTATTGCTGCCAATTGGGGGAGCTGAACCATAGGATGGAAGACCTCTTCTCTGTCTGTCTTGCCTCTCCTCTGACTTTCAAATGAATAACTAAATCTTTTTTAAAAAAGAATATATTGAAAATTTTATACTCTCGTTGGGGCACTGTATTGCAATTTTATTTAATTTTACAAAGTGATTATCAGCAGTAATTCTGATTTGCTCACATTTTAAATAATTGGAAATGGCCGGTGCTGTGGCTCAAATAGGCTAATCCTTCCACCTGTGGTGCCAGCACACCGGGCTCTAGTCCCAGTTGGTGGTGCTGTATTCTGTCCCAGTTGCTCCTCTTCCAGTACAGCTCTCTGCCGTGGCCCAGGAGGAAAATGGAGGATGGCCCAAGTGCTGGGCCCTGCACCACATGGGAGACCAGGAGAAGCACTTGGATCCTGGCTTCAGCTCAGTGGTGGTGCACCAGCCGTAGCACACCAGCTGTAGCGGCCATTGATGGGTGAACCACTGGGAAAAGGAAGACCTTTCTCATCTGTCGTCTCTCACTGTCTACTCTGCTATCAAAAAAAAATCTAAAAAAAAATAATTAAATTGGAAATGGACCAACACTAATCTCTGCAACATTTATGATTGTCAAAAAATGGGTAACTGATATTAAAAGAGAAAAACTTGCATTATAAACATATTTGATTCACACAATCCATAGACAGTATGGGGAGGGGAAGTATGGTCATATAAAGATACTTAGTCTTTTCTACTAAAATAATTAGTGTTCCATCCTTGGGTCATATTCCAGAGTTGAGAAAATATTCTAGTGCATATTTTGAAACAAAAAGTGTCCACAAATACAAAGGTTTCAATCTCCATTAGTTACATAACTAAGAGCTTCTGAAATCCATCTGTCCATCTAAATATCTAACAAATCACTTACTGTTCTAAGAAATGGATCTGAACTTTTCCCTCTACTCGTGGTTTATGTTACAAACTAGGCAAAGAGGCCAACAGAGGGTTTCATGGAGCTCTCATATGAAGATGGCTAGAATTGAGATGGGCTTGAGTGGAGTAGGACAGGGTATGACTCTTGACCCACAGCCTATCCCTGGCTTTCTTTGTGCCTCACCTATGGTTTGCCCTGTTGAAATTCCCAAGCCTTCTCTGATCCTGCCATTGCCCTTTAGTGACTATTGTGCAAAATTGAATTTATAGCCTAGGAACTCATCTCAGGACACAGAAGAAATTACATGCTTAAAAAAATGGGTCTCTATGACACATTCCTTGAAATAAAAAAAATGAACTTTCAGGGATCAAAGAACTAGTTTAGCAACACAACATACTGGTTTCTCATACCCATTCCCAGGAATTGTTCCCTTGGTCATCACACACCTCTTTCAATGGGAGCTGTTCCTACTGGGGTCAGATATTTGGATTCAATGAGGAGTCCTGATATGAATAAAAGTGGGAAGAACATACTCACAAATAGATGGCTAACCTTAAGCAACTTCTTTATCTGTTTCTTAAGTATAGATATCATATGATGATTGCAGTTCATGTTTTTGAGCACCAAGTCATGACAGCAATTCTAGTAAGTAATTTGTACTGGATGAATGGGAATAAATAGTCCCTGTAGTATAAAGGGAGAGATGAATAGAAAGGAGATTGGGTAATTAAGATTCCATCACAAGGATTATGAAATGAGGTTAATCTTTTTCTTTTTTAAAGATTTATTTGAAAGGGAAATAAGGAGAGAGGCAGGAGAGACTGACAAAGAGATAGATGGATCTTCGTTCTTGTGGCTCACTCCCCAAGTGTCTGCAACAGCCAGGATGGGGCCAGGAGTCAGGACCAGGCCATTCTATCTGGGTCTCCTATATGGCTGGTAGGGATCCAAGTTCTTGGGCCATGTTCCACTGCTTTCCCAAACACACTCACAGGAATGTGGATCAGAAGCAGAGTAGCCAGGACTCCAAATGGCATGCCAATATAGGATGCCAGCATTGCAAGCACTGTCCTAACCTACTGCACCACAATGTCAGTCCCAAATGTTAGTCTTCTCAGATTCATCTCTGGTAAATTATATATCACATGCCTCTGATGTCTGACCATGGTTTGTTTCATGTTAATTCATTTCTTAATTTTATTCTCAGAAAAGATATACAGAAAAGATTAATGTCATCTTTTAACCAATATCCCTTGGTCCTGAATCAATCACTGTTCCTTATCTAGTTAATATGCTGTCATCCCTTGGTCTTACATTTATATTCATATTTATATGTAAATATGCAATGTAACCTACAGAGGAAAGTCGACATTTTATGTGCATTGGAGTTTGAGACACTAAAATATACATTACATGAAAAGTTTGAAATAATACAATATATTCTAAGTTATATAATTTTCTTAAATAGCATAATTGGATATAAATGCAAATTCCCATGAGATTCATCTGTTTAGTACCTATACAATTCACTGTTTTCATTCAGTTGTAACCATCACCATTGACAATTTATAATTTTTTTATCTCCTTAAAGTGTTGAGGTTGAGTTTAGTGGTTAATAAACTGCTTGGGTCAGCACATCCCAGACAGCCTGGGTTTGAGTCCCAGCTCCATCCTGATTCAGCTCCAGCTTCTTGCTAATGCTCACCCTAGGTCTGTATCACCCAGAAGGTACAGGCTCAAGTAGTTGGGACACCTAGCTACATTGTTGACCAAAATTGAGTGCCTAGCTCCCAATTTATAATGTTTAAAAATAATTTATTTGAAATTCAGAGAGAGTGACAGAGATTTTTCCATCTGGTGGTTTATGCCCCCATCTCTCCAAATACCTACAACAGCCAAAGTTGGGCCAAGGCAAAATTAGGGCAGAGGAATTCCATGCAGGTCTCATCTCCCATACTGGTGTGGGCCAACATGTGTTGCCTTCCCAGGTCTAATAGTCAGAAGCTGGATTAGGAGCAAAGTGGCTGGGATCTGAACTGACCCTCTGAAAAGGGAAGTGAGCATCCCAATTAACTTAATTCTCAGTGTTATCATGCCTATCTTACCAGCTTCCAATTTTAACTTAGCTCAGTCTTATTTGTTTTGAATGGAGAATGACCCAGCAGGTGGAAACTTTCTTTCATTGTTATTTGTCCTCGCTTATAAAATAAAAAATAAATAAAAAGAAGGCTGTCTCTTTAATATCTAATACTTTCAACCCAAAGTCACTGCAAATGTACTGTTTCTATATGTGCCTACAGTGGACATTGCATGTTGTGGGATGAGATCCAAGCATCCTAATGCCCAATACAGAGTCTCCATTATTCAAGTGTGGTCTGAGCCCTTCCTCTCAGCTGCACTCACCCAGCACATAGTTCTGGCAGTAGGCAACTGAAGACAGGAAAAAAAAATGAGGATGTCATCCCAAGCTGGCAGCTAGCAGGAGAGTGCCATGTGTTCTCAGTTGCACTTAGGAGTGGAGTTTCCATTGCACTGAGTTGTGATAGGAAGGTAGGAAAGGTCTGGATCCATAAGCACTGAGTCCCTCTGCTCTTAACAAATCTGTCTTCAGTAAATATTTCTTTACTTGGCAAGTGTCTTTGGAACCATTTCTAGGGAAGGTACAAGAATTTTCCTTTTTTTTTAAACAAAATTTGTCAGGGCTGGCATTGTGGTAAAGCCACCATTTGAACTACTTGGCATCTGCATTAGAAAACCAGTTCCAGTCCTAGCTACTATGAATCTGATCTGGTTTCCTGATAATGCACCTGGAATGACAACAAATGATTGTCCAAATGCTTTAGCCCCTGTCACATATGGGAAACCAAAAGGAATTTGGGGCTACTGGCTTTGGCCTTGCTATGTCTGGATCCTTGGGCCATTGATGGAGTAAACTCTCCCACCCTTTGTCACTCTGCCTTTCAAATGAATAAGTAATATATCTTTTTAAAACATTTTTTATAATCCTACTAAAATGAAGGCACACATATACTCACACTGTCATGCCAAAATTCTTTCTAGGAAATATACAATCTTAATGCTTACATGCTTTATCAATTATATTTCTAACTGCCAAACAGTAATGCACATTAACCATAAAAATAAAACTAAATCAAATATCTCTAATAAATTACTGATATGATAATTTATGTGCTTTGGAGGCTTTGCAGATTTTAGGGAGACCTATGTGATTATAATATAAATTTCATTTTAAATCCTGCAATGGTCACCCCAGTGTTCACTAAACTGGCAATATCAGTGCCTGTGTTGAAAAAACACACTTGATGATAAATTTGTAAATTTCTTAAATACTATAAGTGGTATTCAAAGAGCAGAAAAGCCCACCATAATTCACAATTAAGTAGAGAATATTGAAAAAATAGGAAACAATAATGAAAAATTACTATAGTGGTATTGGATTTATGCTTTTGGTAAAGTAGCTTGCTGTTGTGTCCCTATAATGAAAAGTTTAAGTTTTGAGTAATTATAATTAAAAAATTTAACCATGTTAAGAAAACACTCCTCTGTTTGCTGTTTATGTTTTAGGAATTAGATATTGGATAACACACTTATCAGTTTTATCATTTTTCTACTTTTCATAATGTTTAATGTTTGTTACTGTGTCATTTTTAAATAATTTGTTTATTTGAAAGGCAGAGATACAGAGAGAAGAGGAGGAAGGGAAGGAAGGGGAGGGAGAAAGGGTGAGGGAGAGGGAGGGAGAAATAGAGATGGAACATCCATCCATTAGTTCACTCCCCAAATGGCAGCAACAGCTGGGCTACACTAGGCTGAAGCTAGGAGCCAGAGGCTTCTTCTAGGTCTCCCATGTGGGTGCAGGGTCCAAGCACTTGGGCCATCTTCTGCTGCTTTCCCAGTGCATCAGCAGGCAGTTGGATGAGCAGTTGAGCAGCCAGGACTTGAACCCGCACATATATGGTGCTGGCACTGCAGGCAGAGCTCAACCTTCTATTCCACACTGCTGGCCCCAGTACGTCATCATATGTTACTATATTAACTTTACCTCCATGCAACCATTAAACATCTTCACAATAATGT